TCTCACTTATAGTGCATGCCATAGATCCACTGTCCACTAATGCTCTGAGAACATGCCCACCATCAGTAGTCACATCTGTGTAGAATAGTCAGTCTTTGAGAGTTTTTGCAGGCCTTGCACAATCAGTGTTTTTTGTGATGGCACTATGCTGCTGTAGGTGTGATACAATGTTTCATAATCGTTGATGTCTGACAAATCCATTGTGGGAGGCTCACTCATTTGATCTGCGCTGTCCTCCCCTGCACGCAGATCATTCAGTTTCCCTGCTGACCATGTAGAGGAGGACATCTCCCCTCTGGGCAGTTGCGTCTTGGATGGCCAGGTAAGTGACACAGGAAACACAGTCTGTTCTCTCGACAGTGTGTAAGGGTAGAGTGAGAGCTGTCTTTACATATGGAACATGGCATGTCATTTAAACCCTCAATTTTTGGAAGCCTGTTGCTGGTATATGGCTTTTTATTGGCTTTAGCATAACCTGGGCCCTGAAGCAACACTTTCTCTAGCATTCCAATCAACCTCTCTAGAGCAGAGGTGTGTGACTCAGGTTTCTTCTGTTCTTTCTTCTGAAACTAAAGCAGCATTAGGATTAACCTCAACTTTATTCACATTGATTCTGCTACTTCTCTCAGTAGAAGACCTGAGTCCCTTCTCTAAATGGTATTCATCTAACACTTCCTGAACCTCACAAGCTGACCATTTATCAGTTGTCTTGGACCTAAAGGTAAGAGCTAAATCTTTACAGGGGCAGTGTCTGATGAACATACGTGTGATTTCAACACTGGGGTTGTCAAACATCTTACCCTGCTCTTTAAGACAACTTGCAGCAACTTCAGCGGCTCTGTTCAGTCTAAGCCAGTACTCATGTGGATCCTCATGTTCTTTTGGCAGGGTGGAATAAAAGTCAGCTAGGGGCACAGAGGAGCACTGAAAGGAGCTGAAATGTTTGCGCAGGAGCCCATAGATGGCCTGTGGGTTATGCTGGACATCAATCTCACCGTTTCTTATTCCTAATCTCACCACATCCTTTGCTCTGCCTCTCAGGTGGATGAGAATTTCCTCAGCCTGATTTTCCAGTTGAACACCGCTTTTTCTGATGTAAGTCTTCATTAATTCCTCCCATTCATCAACAGCCAGCGTATCCAAACTCTCCCCTCGGAACACAGGTGGGTCTTTGACTTTTCTCTGAGTAACCAGCTGGACTTGGGAGAGATCCAGTGTGCCGCTGGAGAGGGAGTCTTTTTTATTGCATGTTTCTTCATGACTTGTATGCGCCGCAGCTGTAGTGCTAGATGTGTTCAGGTGTAACAAAATGCTATCAGCTAGCTGCTGCCCTATCTGCTGCACAATAGTGCTCATTTGGTCAACTAGTCTCCCATCATCAAGAGGAGGGTTTGGAACTGATGTGCTAGCGCACTGTGGTGGATGTAACTCGACTATAAGCTGACTGTGAGGTGGCACTACATCCCTATCTCTGAAAGGACTGTGTACATAATCCTCCTCAAAAGCTGCTTTATCCCCCACCTCATGGTCACCCAGTGAAAATGGGACAGGTGTGCTACGTAACCCTCTACCCCTACCAATACTAAGAGGAGTCATATCAGAGGTGCCAAATTTGCTGAGACTCATACTTGATAGCAAAATTCACACTCAGATAAGATTACATCAAATAAATCTTGAGGGAATATGGCTGTTATTAACTAAATAAACCTGACAGTCAAACACACTGAAGAAAGAAATGCAGCTCCAAAACGATGCAGTGGCGAGGAGACATCCGCCCGGTCCGGTATAGTCATAGACGAGTCTTCTGTTCAATGAATCTCTGGAGCTGGTCAGG